TGGTACTTTCGATCTGTTCTGAAGTAAAAGTTACTCATTTGTTCTTTAGTAAAGTAGAGTCTCAGATCTTTGCTACTTGAGTAAGTCTCGTCTTGTACTTGAGTAAAGTTTAAAGGTCTCAGATCTTGGGATGTACTCCGGTGGAACTCAGTCTGAGGAGGTTCACTTGAACTTGCTGGCGAGCCCTCTCTGCCGGCTGCTGCGAGCAACACTCTGTTGCGATGGGCTCTCTGTGCTGGAACATAGTCTGTCGTCCGGTAACGGGCTGAATCACTCAGGATCGTATGTACGTCGCACTGGGACACCTCACACACCACCCACCTCGTCAATGACTAGGTGCAGAACATTTCAATTAATAAATAAGAGGTTATAAAAACTCACCCTTTTTCAAAGAGTCCGATTTCAGCGTGGGATATCAGCCTGTCGGCTTTCCTGGAAGAAGAAAAAAGGTGAATTTTAAACCTGGTTCCCTTTAGCTTCATTTGAGATCAGAAGTTGTACCGTACCGATGTTGAGACTCCTCCACCGTGTCGCCGTTTTTGATGTTTGTATGCCTGAGCAAGCGCGAGAGGTTTCATCAGGATTACAATTCTCCGCGGCAACTCGAGCTGTTGTTTCTCCAAATGGACCGGTATTAGTGCACTTTTTCATGGCTGTCAAATTAATGTATTTTAATCGCGTTCGATTATGCTTGCAACATTACGAACGCGTAATCAAAATAAACGATTCTTTTTATTATTCTTTTTTGTTTTGTTGTTTTCAGTTGAGTTACACTTAAAGTTCAGTTGTATCCACTGTAAAAACAAACCGTTCACCATTTTTTTTTTCCTATAATGGTGTTTTCAAAGTCAATTGAATATCGCGATTACATTATTGGCCAAATAAGAGAATTGATTTTTGCATTCTGCAGCCCTCATTTATAGTATGTTCCAAAAGGACTTTCAAGACACTTCATAGATAACATAAGGAAACACTTCAATATAAACCACACTACTCAAAGTGCCAGTAGAGTGGGTTTCCGGCTTTGGGACCTGTTCCTGTGCGATGCTGAGCTGAGCTTTCTGTTCTCCACGGCCGTCGTCCACTGAGTCCATGTAGGAAGCCTTGGGGCAAGGTTAACATGCGGTTTGTCGGTTTAACTCACCCTGTGGGGACACAGATTGCACCGGTGAGTTCTGCAGACGTGGTTGGGTGACGGTGCGCGTCTGAGGTTCAATGAGGGAACACATTGCACCAAGTCACTGGCTTCACGACAGGCGAGTACCTGGAGGAGGACTCTCCGATGAAGATCTTTTGGCTTCTGACGGGAGCGTTGGCTTGTTAGAGCTTTTGTATGGATTTCCTTTCCCTGTGAAATGTAAGTTCGAATGTTCAAGGGTTTCAAAAAAGGGTTCAAAAGGGTCAAAGGTTCTTTTTTGTCACACATAGCTCAGTGTGTTATGTCGATGTTCTTTTGTCACAGGCTTGATAGTAGAGAAACTGCGGAATGAAACATTGGATTTGGTTCCGAGCGGGGATTTCGAACACGTGCTCCCGCAGGTCTTTTTAAGGCTGGGAATATCGCTGATCATGGAATTGAAAACTCTCAGCGTTACATTTCATGTTTAACAGAGTGCGGGGGGTCCTTGTCTAAGCCCAGTCCACTTTAGTTCAGTGTTTGATTTCGAGGGTACGTGTTCCCCTGTCCGGCGCATCGTGGGGCCATTCCTAAACGCAGGCTTTTGGTTTTGTCCTTTTGAACACGTAGTCTGTGATTTGTGGACCATTGTCGTGGATTTTGTTGTTAGAACTCAAGTGGACTTTTTGGATTTATTGTGCATGTGGGAGGAGGGGTTTTCTCTTGGGGGATATTGAAATACTTGCTATCGTGATACAGATAATTTGTCTTTTCTTTTTTTCTAATGTCTCATGTTGGGTTTTGCGTGAGTTTTTCAGTTGTATGCGGTCGACTTTACTCAACTGTGGGGCTTCCAGATCCTATATGTCAGGGAGGACCTGCTCGCCCGAAAAAGGGATCAATAAACAACAAAACAACTTCAACTCGTTGTAGATCCGTGATTGAAATGGTTTGTAAACGGGGCTTCGGGCATGGTGGTTGATTCTGTGCGCCTGGCTGTTGTTGCTCAGGCTCATCTGCTGTCGTGAAGATCCACGGGCGTCGGGGTTGTTCCCGTCCCCTCTAAGTGCGCGGATCCTCTGCGCCACAAGGCCACCACACCACCACAACAACAACCACACAACCACCACCAACACACACACACACACACACAACACAACCACCAAACCACACCAACACACCACACACCGACCACACACACAACACACACCAACCAACACACACACACAACACCACACACACCACACCCAACCACACACACACACACACACCACTTTTTAAAACCAGTGGAGTAACCGCTTCGACTTACGTTCGTTTAGAAGGCTAAAAACTAGATCGAAATGAAACGCAAACCACGATATTCACTTCTTTTGGTTTTTTATGGCTCAATCTCAGAATGTTAAGTCTACATTTCCCCCAATGCACTTGTAGCATATCTTTAGCCTTACTTTACCTGGTCCCAGTTCTTAAAATGTCGTTACTGGTTCTTCTGTTGTAAAAATGGATCAAGTTCGCTCTTAGTTGTGGAGCAAAGCACATTTACATTTTCTATAGGTGATTGGAAAGGTGCATTTGCAAAACACTTTAGGTTAAGGTCTGCTTTATTGGCTCTGGGGTCAAATAACCTGCATAAATTAATGTTTGAGGGCGGACAATTTAAAACATCCAACAATCTGTCTGAACAAGCCTGTGGACGGTTGTGTTATAGCCATGCTTATACAGCGTTTTCTGATTTTCATTAGATGTGTGTTCTGAGTTCTACACAGAGAGACAATTGGTCGTTTGATTATCAGATGTATTTCATTTGAAGTGGCTGACAACGGGTAGAGGAGGTTCAGAGAAGGCTCAGGTTTAAAACGGTTAACTTTGTTAGTTATATCCTCAGATGCATTGAGCGATGATTGCTTAAACATATACAACTATACTTTCAGAGAGAAACTGTTGCTTTGTGTGGTAGGTGCATGATCAAAGTGTGTGTGTGTTACATGCTTAGGGAGAATGTGTGTGCTGTTCTTGGCGTGGCTATATGCTGTATGATTGTTGCTACTACATGCTTTGTGGCAGCAGGTGATGTTAACCCCTTATTTGTTTGTTTTGTTGCACAACTAAATAAAATAAAATGCTGATAGCTATATCTGTGTTTGTGTTTTTATTGATTCTCTGTTTCTCTTCCCTGTTGTGTGGGGCTGCATCGCCACACTTTGTCTCAAACTTGATTACTGTATTGTATTTTAGGACTAAGCAAGTAATGTGTCCTAACATATGTAACCTAGCAAACAAGTGGACCACGGTTATAATTCCAAGATTATCTGATCTTGCATCTCATATTAATCAGGGGAGGTTTACAGTCAGTCATTTTATTTTATATAACATTAGTTATGAACATTCCAACTGCTGTTCGTTCTAACCTCGTTTTAGATAAGCTTCTGACCTTCGTGGTATTTGCAATTCATCAAACTGCGGCGTTTAGAGTAATCTCGGTACGTGATCTGAAGGCTTGTGTCATTTGACGGGACACTGTAACTTGGATTTAAAATATCCACGGTCTGGAACCATTGGGAGGTCTTTGTACCATTTGACTTCTTTTTCCGACACCACTTTAATTGTCATGACCTCTGGTGCTCATCGCACAGAAAGTGCGTTATACTTGTTTACGACAGGCGGTGGGAGTCATTTGGGAGATTCTCTCCTATTATTATTTATCGTGCCTCCGACTGAATATAAGCTACAGAGGACACACGGGCAGCACTGGAGCCAACATTACAGTGCTATGTATCTGTGTGAAAATTACGCACCTGACACTCACGAACCGGCTTCTTCAGGCTTTCTGGAAGGCATGGTGTTAGGCCGGCAGGCCAGGTGACTTCTGACCCTGGGGTGCCACACGTGGGAGGAATGACAGTGTATGGCTTTGTTACTGTGGTGAGAAGTATCCATTACTGAGGATCTGTGCATACTGCAATTATATTTTACTTTCACACTTCACAGGTCATTTTATTTAAAATTAAAAAGTTTTTTTTCATTGATCACAATATCAATATGTTTGATTGTTTTAGCCCTCCCTAAAAATGCTGTATGAGTGGTTTACCTTCGGGTCCGTGTTCCTCCATCGCTGGTTTGTCTTTGCTTAACCTTCTGGCAACAAGCGCATTGTCCGTCACCTGACAAACAAATGCAGTCGTGGCTGTGCTATGTTTATTGTGACTCTGAAGCCTTTGTTCATGTGGCTTTTTGGCACCCGTTAATCAGTGGAAAAGTCTGGCAGCGGTGGAAGGCCAACCAAGTTTTATTTTCTCAGTTTCTGAATCAAGTACATTTCTGGTCTTGTCTTACTTGCTTTTTCTTTAAGGTCTCCTTTCTGCACATCATTCTTCATGTCTCTTCTCATCACATGTGCCCCTCTTCTTCATGTGTCTTTCACAACATGTGCCCCCTCTTCTTGTTCTTCTACATACATTGTGTCCCTCTTCTTCATGTCTCTTCTACATCACATGTGGTCCCTCTTCTTCAGTCCCTTCTCTCAACATGCTGTCCCTCTTCTTCATGTTCTTCATCCATGTGTCCTTTCTTCATGTCTCCTTCTACATCAAAATGTTCCCCTTTCTTCATGTCCTTTCATCAACATGTGTCCTCTTCTTCTAAATGTGTCCCCTCTTCTTCATGGTCTCTTAATCACTGTGTCCCCCTCTTTCATTGTCTCTTTAGATTCACATGTGTCCTCTCTTCTCCATGTCTCTTCTACATCCTGTGCCCCTCTTCTTCTGTTCTTCTACATCATGGTCCCCTTCTTTTTCATGTGTCTTCTACATCTGTGTCCCTTTCTTATGTCTTTCTACATCACATGTGTCCCCTCTCTTCATGGTTCTTCTACATTCAACATGTGTCCCTTTTGTTCTTTACATCAACTGTGTCCTCTTCTTCATGTTCTCTTCTCATCAACATGTGTCCCCTTTTCTCCTGGTCTCTTCTCTTAACATGTGTCCTCTCTCTTTTGTCTCTTCTACATAACATGTTCCCTCTTTCTTTCACTGTCTCTCTATCCCATGTGTCCTCTTCACCAGTCTCTTCTACATCAACTGTGTCCTCTCTTTCATTGGTCTCTTCTACATCAACTGTGTCCCGTCTTCTTCATGTCTTCTGTCTACTCATGTGTCCCTTTCTTCATGTCTCTTACATTCACTGTGTCCCCTCTTCGTTCATGTCTACTTCTCATTCACATGTGTCCTTGTGGAAGGCTTGAAGTTCAGGACAAGTGCTCTCTCTTTTTGTCCATTTCTGTCGAAACCTGTCTGATGCGCTGTCTGATTTTGGCCTTTATTGTGTATAAGATGTGTGTCTTGTGCTAACTCATTGCAATCAGCACCAGGTAAACCCCCCCTCATCTAAAGTAACAGACAGAGAATCAGCACTTTGGAAACAGGGCTGAAACAGAGGGGATTATGGGAAATGCTGCAATGATCTGTTTGGTGTTGCAGCCAATCAGAGACAGGCTCTGGATATATCTGAGACCTGTGATATTGATTGATTGATTGATGAGAAACAGTATGATAGGGGACCTTTAAGTGTTACTTTATACTTCGACTCCACTCCCATCTTTGTTACAGCGTTAATGACATGCTTAAATACTTTTACTTAAGTACCATTCTCGAAGCAGTACTTTTACTTGTAACAGAGTATTTTTAGGTTGCAGTAATAGTACTTGTACCTAGGTTAAGGGTCTCAGCTGTGAAGTCCTGCTTTAGTTAGTACATGAAGCCTGGGCACAGCAGTTGGTGTTCAAGGAGGATTATGTATTACTTTTTTAACAGATAGCTTAGATATTAAGCATGTTCATTGATCTAATATATCATATTCCAATTACTTGTATATAGACTCTCCTTGCACTATTTCCATTCTATCTATCCAACTTGCACTCTTTTATCAGTTGTGTTGTGTTGCTCTGTTTGAGGAGTCTGTGACCTCAGATTTTCATTGATATATCTACACTGTAGCTCTGTACACGACAATAAAAGCATTGAAACTTGAATGTTTACAAATGTTGACTTTCCTTCAATATAATATTCATAACTGTACAAACAAAGATCTTATTGAGGTTCCTACCTCCAGCAGAGATGATGGCATCGGCCCATCGGACCACTTCTTCATCATATTCTCCCCTCTTCACAATCCGAACCTCAATGCCTTCGCTCCTGCAAACACAACATGATGAAACAGTTTGAATAGTCCTTTAAAAAGAGCCGAGCTTTCCTGTCTGCTCTGGGGTTATCTGGGGAATCTCACCGCAGGCTCTTCACAATGTGCTCCACGTTGTTGGTGTGTATTTTGTGTCTTTCCTGCAGGCCGCTGTAGCTGGAGCCCTTCAGAGCGAGCTGCAAAACACACACACGAGATGTAGAGGAAACAGGTAAGAGGTTGTTTACCGCCAGAGGTCACAGCCTAAAGGCAGCTGTGGAAGTACACTGACTTAAGTACGGTCCTTAAGTGTTATTTTGACATAATAACATTTCTACTACTTTCTTCTCTACAAAATGTCAGAGGCAAATTAAGTATTTGTTTACTCCACTACAGTTAGTATACACGTATAGTTACTTTTTTTCATATAATAATAACACGTGCTTGTGTGATATGATAATTACTTTACTGCTTATCAACCGTGTATTATGTGAAGTCTCTAGAAGTGGCTCCATATTGACAAACTACATTAAAATGATATGGCACTTACTGTATCCGTTAGTTTTTCTTGTTATTATAATTATGGGCAATTTGAGACTTCTGTTTTAAGGAATGAGCTGTAAACACTTTTTGTAACAACACATTAAACCCTATGGAGAGCTGTGACGTAAGCTGTTTGTTTTCTTAAAGCATATTCAAGTATCAAGCTTACATTTACCTACATTTTTACAACTTAGAGTATAACTTAACTTATGAAGCAATACACCTCTATTGAGCGGCCCAGCCCTTCGTATGCATGTTTTTCTGTATGTGGCCCAAAATGAAAACAGTTTAGACGCTCCTGGTCTAAGACTTTTACTTAAGTAAATACTTTTGTACTCAAGCAACACATTTTAACTCAGTATTTTTGTACTTGTAATCGAGTATTTTAATACCATTAGACTTTTGCTCAGGTAAAGGGTCTGTGTATATACTCATGTACTTATATCTGAAATGGGCATTTGAGCAGAATAAATACTTTTTGACGTAAATACTTTTGTACTCAAGCAAAAATGTTTACCTCAGTATGTTTGTACTTGTAATCGATTATTTTAAGAACATTAGACTTTTGCTAGGGTAAAGGTGAAGGAGAATCACTCACCAGGTGTTTGAGGTCCTCTTCAGAGAGCCCTGCATACTGGTATCGCTGCTGCTCAAACTCATACCTGGTGGTCTTTGTAACCACTGCTACTTTCTCAGGTTTGAATCCAGCTTTAGGCAGCGAGGAGGCGTGTTTTAGAGAAGAGTGAAAGGTCTGAAGTGAGTTTCCATTCAGCAGACTGACAGCTCGAGTCCCCAGACCCAGCAAGTTCACTACCGAGCGGCGAGGCATTCTCACAACAAGTGACCACACACCCATAAACTCAATCACATGTCCGATTAAAACAGGTTACTGAGGACTCTCTGCTGTTACATACTGCGTTATATGTCAGTCCTCTGGTCAGATTAGGTTAATTCACTGAATTTGGAAAGGCCAAATAAAGTCACACCACGCCCAGCTGCCAGGGAAGGTCACCAGTCCTGTCAATCAAGCTCTAGTTACCCGTTTATGACTCCAAAATATCTCTTTTCCAAATGGAGTATTTCCTCGGGGTATCACCGAAAACACAATTCAGCTCGCAGTTTAACTGACGTTAGTAACCATGCCAACCGTATTTGGTCAGGTTAAAAGATAGCGTTACGAGCTGAGCTCAACAAGCTAAACGAAGCTAGCAGTTTGCTTTCAAGGCTTCCTACGAACTGTAACGGCTGGGTTCACTCTTTCCACACACCACACACAGCTCTGCCTCATTACTCAAGTCCAGAGGAGTTCAAACTGGAGCTGAAACACCTGAGCTGAAGAATTAACGACAACACAAGAAACTCTGGCAGCACTGCACGTCCCATGAAGGTTGGCACGTAGTAGCCTGGGTTTACGTACGCGACGTAACTTCCTATTGGCTGCGCGCATGTCAGTCAAATAAGTTTTGTTTTGGCTGACAGCGAGCCATGATGCGTTCAAATACACGCGTAAGACTGGGAAAAGTCATATTTAAAATACTAGCAGAAAAAAATTGTTCGTTCTAGCTTTCAGTGATAAATAAGCCCAAATGTGGCCGAGATCAGGATTTTAAAAGTGGGCCAGCTGAGGCCCCGAGTCCCCCAGACACCTAGATAAAGTGTTTAAATGGTTTTAATTGTTAAACACATATAATCCTTATGAATTTCTTTGATGAAAGGCCAAAACATACATCTAAATATATTTTATCTCAAGTATTATCAGCTTATAAAACACCCACCATGGTTTTCTAGAAATTCCTAGAATGGGCATGACTTCAATGAAAGCTATGACCCTTCAATTTCTTTCAGGCGGATTGACCTTTGACATTTCCTTTGTTATGCCCTTCAAAGAGGGGTATTGGCTTTGCCCTAAAATACTGACTACGTTTTTTTGTTTGCGTCATTCACTGAATTTAAATGTTAACGTGTAGGTGTAACTGTAAAAAGCAGAAGGAGAGGGGCTTTAAGCCTCTTACTGTGTGAAACTAATATATGATGAAGAAATATGGGGCCTTGGTTTGACCGGTCCTCAAAGGTAAATTACTTTGTACCTGAACACAACAATGATGGATAGCATGAAGCAGAGCAGCATATGTGTTATTATCACAGCTTATAGGGTTGATAATGGCATACTGCAAACTGCACCCTAGTTCCACTTCCTTACTTGCAACATTGATCACATGCTTTTGACCACAAACTGGAAAAACAGTGTCCAAAAAAACTGTTTCAGTCTGAGACAAAATTACATAAAAAACACTTTTAGGAATTCCAGCGTTACAACACCTCCATCTAGTTTCAAGAGCTTTAAGAGTCATGCAGGTTTATGATGCTGCTTCTTAAGACCTGGATGAACTTACTGTGACATTTTACATTTGTTTTCGTGAGATTATGCTGACTAATGTGCCGTGATATCAATATTTTTAAAGCAGACATTTTTTTCATAGCAGGAGAGGCTCAAGCAATACTTATTACATTAATGACTTTGTTCAGTTCAAGTGTCAGGACAGAGAGATAGTGAGCCAACACCAGGACACTGAAACTGAGGCAGCTCGGTGGAATTTAGCCATCTTCTATTTCATTATCTGTCTTACTGCCGCATATCAAAAAAGTTTGGGTGAAAAATACCCGTTATTTAACAATCAGCTTACAATATCCACACCTGGCCGTCTCAAATGTTGAGATTCAAGGGTGAAAACCAACCAACCCCAGGTTTGTTTTGAAATATACTTTTTTTTTCCACCTCACTATGTGTGTGTGTTCTGTGTTGTGTCTGTTATTTTTAGCTTCCACATGGAGCTTGCTCATGGCAGAGGGCTGCAGTGCTTCTTCAAATGCAGCCACGCCACACACTTGGACTTTTAGTGGGATTTGAGTTATTTTTGGGGAGATATACATCGTTTTGTTTTTTTGAAAAATCCTAGTCCTCACTTTGACTTCTGCTAACTGTGTCTATTTTCTGTATTTTTGACATTTTTGTAGTTGCTACTAGGGTGGTATTCAAAATCTCTGTGTTTCTCTCCAAGACACAAGTTGAGACACTACATACTGATATACACCTGAACATCAGCAGGAGAGGACTCTTTAAAGTAGAGACACTACACACTTATATACACCTGGACATCAGCAGGAAAGGACTCTTTAAAGTAGAGACACTACACACTGATATACACCTGAACATCAACAGGAGAGGACTCTTTAAAGTAGAGACACTACATACTGATATACACCTGAACATCAGCAGGAGAGGACTCTTTAAAGTTAAGTAGACACTACATGCTGATATACACCTGAACATCAGCAGGAGAGGACTCTTTAAAGTAGAGACACTACATACTGATATACACCTGAACATCAGCAGGAGAGGACTCTTTAAAGTAGAGACACTACATACTGATATACACCTGAACATCAGCAGGAGAGGACTCTTTAAAGTAGAGGAGACACTACATACTGATATACACCTGAACATCAGCAGGAGAGGACTCTTTAAAGTAGAGACACTACATACTGATATACACCTGAACATCAGCAGGAGAGGACTCTTTAAAGCAGAGACACTACCACACTCGATATAGGACTTGAACATCAGCAGGGATTGTGAAGGACTCGTGTTATATAGTACGAGATCTCTAAATAACACTTGTATTTTTTTTTATACTATCTCTGAACATAAGCTAGTGGATTGTGTGACTCTTTTAAAGTAGAGACCATACATAAACCTGATATACACCTGAAACATCAGCAGTAGTGTACTCTTTAAAAATAGAGGCACACGTACATACTGATATACACCTGAACATTCAGCAGGAGAGGGACTCTTTTTAAAGTGGAGATTACTAATTTTTTTGTTTTATACACTCTGAGCATCTAGTATGTGATGTGACTCTTTAAAAGTGATTTTACTACTTGATTAATACACCCTTGCAACATCAGCTAGGATTGACGATCTTCTTTAATAGTGTGAGGTATTACTACATACTGATATACACCTGTAACATCTGCCAGGAGATGGGACTCTAAATGTTATGATGAACTACATATGTTTCTGATATTATACTTCTGTAACATCAGCAGGAGAGGATCTCTTTAAATGTGTGTTATTTGTTATATTCTTTTGATTTTTTATACACTCTCTTGTAACTATCAGCTAGATGATGGATCTTTCTTTATATATATATAGTTATGTTATCTTATAGTCTCTTCTCTGTCCCTGTGTTCAGGTCAGGTCAGGACGTTATGTCTCTTAATCCTTGTTCATGTTCTTATGTGGTTCTATGTATATTCTTGTCTTGTATTCTCTACTTTTATATCTATAATACAAAAAGTGTTATATTGTTATGTATGTGTTGCTTTTTATTTTTTCTTTTTATATATGTATATGATATCTGATATCTCCTCCTTCTATCCCGCGCTATACTCCTTATACCCCTAACCCTTTTAATCCGGCCATTAAGAATTATAAACTGTAAAACTGAATTTAGTTTAAGCAGCTCCTTGTTTTTTTTTTAGCCCTTATAGGTACAGTAACATCATGAACATATAATGTGTGTTGTGTTGTGTGTGTGTGTCATTGATTGTACAGGAATCAGGCCTGTGTTCGTATCAAGTGACGTAGGCAGGAGGCCTGGACAATGTACCACACAACCACACACACACACCACACACACACACACACACCAACACACACAAACACACACACACACACACACACACACATCACACACACACACACACACACACACACAACACACACTACACCACACACACACACACACCACACACACACACAACACACCTGTCCGCTAGCCAGCAAACAATCTCAGCACATCGAGAGGCGCGTTGGATACGTGTGTGTGTGTGTGTGTGTGTGTTGTGTGTGTGTGTGTGTGTGTGTGGTCTGTGTGTGTTGTGTGTGTGTGTGTGTAACTCCACGGTGTTCCGTAGGCTCCTTGCAGAGCTACGCTCATCCTGAGCTCCGTGCCCGATAAACAGAGCGCTACCGTCGGCCACTCCGCCGACCCATCCATCCGTCTATCTA